ATCCAAACCATCCCTTACAATCAAATTCAGAATATGAGCAGAACACCTCATATGAACCAATTTACCATAAATCAACAAGTCACTGCTCAGAAGCTTAGTTCTCATGTGGAAAATCATGGAATCATTGGTGGTACAGTTGTCCAATGTGATTGAGGACAACTTACCATCAATGTTCCAATCCAAAAGACAATCAAACAACCTATCAGCAAGCCTTTCACTAGTGTGAGGGGCTGGAACATACATAAATCTCATCATTATGTTACGGAGCTTCCAAGAGTTATCAATGAAGTGACCAGTTACTGCCATATAACCCCTTTTCTGATTTCTGGCAGTCCACAAATCAGTTGTAATTGAAACCCTCCCCAGGTTACCATCAATAATGGTCTGATATTTACCCCTTTCAACACCATATAAACTCAAAATGTCCTTTTTGACAGTGTTTCTACTAGGAATAGCTAACTGAGGTTGAAGAGAACAGCAAAAACGTTTGAAACCCACATGATCAACAAGGCCAATGGGGTACTCATGGACCAGAATCATTGAACAAAGTTCCTTCCTAGAAACCTCATAATTGTATTGAGAAGCAGAGAGTTGAGGATTTCCAACAGGTTTATAGTTAGGGCCAAGTATTTTTTGAGAACCATCATGTATCCTCTTTTGGATACATGTTTTTATATGGCTTCTTAGGTGTGAAGTTCCATTACTTGTTTCCCCACCAAGGGATTTACGACAGTACTTACACCTAGCCTTCATAACCCCATTAACCCTAACTCGGTTAAAGTGAGGCGACACATCAGAGGTTAACTTACGTTGAGCTTCAAGCTCCTCAACATTACCAGGTTGTTCAGGTTGAGGTTGGACTTGGACACCATTTTCAGGGACATTGACATTGGGAGCAAGGTCAACATTTATAGCAGTAGGAGCACCTTCCATCTGAACATAATATATATTAAGCCTTAGTTAATACTTAATAGTTATTAACTTAGTTACATTCCATCTGAACATTAAGCCTTAGTTAATAGTTATTAACTTAGTTACATTCACAATGACAAAACTAAACTTGCAAACAAACATCTTTAGCAGCAAAATCACGCTTACAGTTTAATTAATTTTACTTATTAGCATTATGAATCCACTGATTGTCACAACAAGTCGCAGCATTATGAACAAACAGTCAAACACAGTGAGTTGACGCTTAAGAGAGGACTGGGATTACCTTCTCGGATTGGAGTTTTATGTGGACTGTCGAGTACCCAATGACAGTAGACTGCTCCTCACTGCTCACTGACTCTGTTCTGCTTTAGTTCTCTAAACCAGTAAACCCCATCCAAAGTTCCAAACGAGACCAACCTAGCCCAAACAAGAGTGAACAAGAAGAGTCAGTGAACAACGAACACAAAGCAAGTTAGAACTGGAATTTAATGCATGCATGTCTGAATTATGAGACCACTAACCCATAATTCATAAAAAGTATAGACGAGATCAAGAAACTTACACTCGACGACTGGTCTCTGTCTGGAGGCTCGGGCGCTCGGTGAAATCCCTCGGTCTCTGCTCTCTGTTGACTCGACTGGGGGTGTTCTTGTTCTCGATTTCAGAAATCAGAAGATGGCGTGGTGAGAAACGACCTCTGCGCTCTGAATCCCCCTATATATACTAGTACAAGAAGAGTCAGTACTCAGTAGAGAGTTAGGGGAACGAGGAATCAGGGAAGATGCTTGAAAGAAAAGATAAGAAACCCATAATTAACTTTAATTTTCTCGAAGAATCAGCAATTTGAACTTCCAAGGAGGCAATGACTCGTTTTTGGACTGCGGCCGACGAAATCTTCGTCGGATGGTTGCTCTTTGAGCCATGAAATTGGTCGAATGGAGGATTTGATGAGGGGAAATGAAGAAAAATCGGCCAGATCGCGATTATCTAGCGATCTGATCGCTAATCGCCAGAGAGGAGGCAGAGAGAAAGAAGGAAACTAGGGTTTCTGTTCGTTTGGTGAAGAATGGAAATGAGGCGGCTGCTAGGGTTTCTCTAAGGGAAAGCAGAGATTATATATCGCCCTCCAAACGCCGTCGTTTTTTACACGGTTAAACCATCGGGCGGGTCGCGGGGCGGATACTGGGCTAACCACCACCGCCCGAAAACCATGGTTGACGGGTTTCGGGTTACCCGCCACCCGTTGACGGGCCAGAGAACCACAACCACATGGGCCCTTATCGGGCGGGCTTCGGGCGGATACCCGGATTTGGGCCCCGGCCTGCCATCCCTAGTGATTGGTCCACAAAAGTATGATGTGGCACTGATTTGTTTTACCAATAAGCCCAAACTCGAATATAACCCAACCAATATTTGCCAAAGTGACGGAGAAACTTTGATTCCGTCTCTGCTTTTCATCCGTTTGACTTTTAGCCTTCTGTGTATTAGCCCAAAGTGATTGGGTCGCCGGAAGTCCTCTTGAGAGTCTGCCGGAAAAAAGAGGCGAACAAAGACGAACAACTTTCTTTTGCTTCGGGTTTCTGTTTCCGGCGACAAAATTAATTTAGCGTAAATTAAAGTGAAATATTTAATATACGAAATGTAAGCCAACTGCAACATACGGTGCAGATGGCAAGAAGGAATATGTTTGGTCAAGTGGGGGAATCGGGCCACTTCTAGATGGGTCAACGGGTTTGGACCCCAACATATTCAACCCAATTCATGCCACATCGTTATTTACATGGACCAATCAGAATATGAGTTACCGGTGTCGCACTTTTTTCAGCGACACTATAATATTGGCCCAAGTAAATAAGTAATATAGATCAGCATATTAGCGAATCTCTCCAACAAGAACCGTTGTTTATCACACTCTTACTGTTCTCCCAATTATATGTATCTAGCTGCATGCCTAGCAACCAAAACAACCCAAATTGAGATCCCAACCGAAAAAGCAAAACAAACAAAAACAAAAACCATCAGCTGACCTTATAGAATTATATATAAGGCATAATCCGGCAGCATCTCCTCAACCGATCGAACCATGCCGGTAAAAAGTAGTAAAAAACAAAAATAAAAGAAATATTCAATGACAGCAAACAAGGGAGGCAATGCGAAGTACACAACGAACTAAGAAATAGGAATTTTAACATGTATTACTTGTTAACTTCAAATATATTCCAATAATTAGTGATTTGAATTTAAAAAGAAAAAATTGTACTTTGTTTCTCAAATTTTAAAGGTACGTATAAAGTAACCAAAATTTATTTTTACAATAAAAATATCTGACCTTTTAGTAAATTTCTAAAAGTTTAGGTACTAAATTATAAGAAAAAATAAATTTGGATATTTTAATTTAATTTACCAAAATTTGTAGTAAGTGACCCAAAAATCTAAACATATATAAAAAATCTAAAATTTAAAATACCAACATATTATGAATAAGTATCCAAAATAACTATTTTGAATTACATGTATTTCAAAGTATTTAAAATACACACATTTAAAATACATGTATTTCAAGTAAATTACATTTTTTTTATAGACAAGGGTGACAATTGACATAGGTTTATTTTTATAATTAGGTGCACTTAAGGGATTTGAACTTAGAACCTCCAGATTCAATACTAGTGGTATTATCACTAGCAATGTAGTCAAAATCGCACTTTAAAACTTAAAACTTACGATTTTATGCTTCTAGGTCACCAAAACGCTTTCGTTTCCATATATAATCTATAGTGTGTAAAATCAGATTAAATTGCGCTTTAATACTAAAAAACTTACGATTTTACGCTTCTAGTTCGCCAAAACGCTTTACGCTTTTACGCTTCTAGTTCACTAAATGAGTATTTTTTTTTCATGAAATTAATTATAAAAAATATATTTTAAAGGTACATAACTAACAATATAATCATTTGAGATTAAAAGATACATACCAGATCTTGGATGCATTCTCAGCTTCAATAGAGTAATGTAATTCCCGAATTCCCAAATTCATTAGCATAAAGGGGATGGTGGCTTATTATTAAGTTCTATGTTTATGAACTTATTGTTAAGATGCTATGAGTTGCTCTACTTTAAACATGAATTGCAGGTATTTATTAACTAATTTAATTTCTGTGCACACATATTTTACATAGTATATTTCATACTTAACATATTTTTAGCCATTTTACACTATGCATAAAAAACTTACGCTTTTACACTTTGATTCTACGCTTTATGATTTTATTTATTTTTTGCTTTTAGGTTGAATCGCGCTTTTGACTGCAATGATCACTAGGACAAGCCCTTATTTGCTTAAAATACATTACATTTGAAATACATGTATCTAAATGCGTGTATTTAAAATACATGTAATTAAAATTCTTTGTTTGGATATTCATTTGTAATTTATTGTTATTTTAGATTTTTTACTTTAATTTTGAATTTTCTGGCCACTTACTATAAATTTTGGTAAATTCCATATCAGTACCCAAATTTATTTTTCTTATAATTTGGTATCTCAAATTTTAAAATTTTACAAAAAGGATCTAGAAAATTTGATACCTTTATTTATTTTTTCTCACACTATTGTACCTAAACTTTTAAAATTTTACAAACCTTTTCAATCTGTTGCTAGGAGGAATTTCGTATCACTATTTGTTGAAATGAATTTGAAGTTGACAAGTATTACACTAAACATGTATTTGAAAATCACTACATGAATTTGGCACAAATCCAAATACCAAATATAGTTAATATCAAATCAAATTATTCTGTCTAAACACGCCCTTAGAGATTTCAAATTTGGCCGGAATAGAGCACATGCTGGTTCTTATTCTTTATTCATTCCAATTCCAACAAAATCCCGGCAAAATTTTAGTTGTATATAAAATACAAGATGGTGCAAAATGACCTACCTTGATTATAACGATGTAGCAAAACACAAAGGTTGTAATATTAACATGTTATCAACTTATCATAATCTTAAATTTGTGCAACCTATTCTCTCTTATACATAAACTTAGCTAAGCATCACATATTGCGTTAGTGAACATGAAACGATAACAAACTCACTGAATTGTACTATTAATCATCTATATCAGCAAACTCAACCGGATGTTTTCGCATCGAGACAAAATGTGATACAAGTCGTCATGTTGTCAAACGAGTTGAGGGGCAAGGGCAAGTGAGTCCCTTGCCCGGAGATTGACTTGTTGACTCACTGGTTGATTGTTGATAATGTGATGTAAGGCTTCCACTGCGTAAGATGTACGCGACACCATGTTATAACTGGTTGATTGTTGATAAAAACATATTTGGGGCCGTTTGTGTAAGGGATTGTGGTGAGGGATTTATCAAGGATTTTAAAACAATCTCTCATTCTGCAGGATTTTAAAACAATCACTCGTTTTGAGAAAGATGAGAGTTTCTACAATTAGGGATTTTAAAAACTCTATCTCAAATGTGGGTTTTTGAAATAGCTTATGAGGATCAGCTATTTCTAAATCTCTCGTTCTTGTTTTATTTTTATTTTTCCCAAAAACTACCCTTCCTTATTACGACTTCTTCTTCCTTTCTCTAAGCCTTCTGCCTTCTTCTCCAATCACTCCACTATCCACCTAATGCAACACCAGCTCCCGAACAAAAGCGGTGGCGGGGCTTCTCCGAAGCAACTTCCAGATTCCGGAGATGAAGAAGGGAGAGGAGGAGATGAGGAAGGAGAGAAATTAACCGAGGATGAGGATTCCAACAGGGCAGTCGTCGAGAAGAAGATTGGATCTCGACGATCAGATCCACTCCTTCTCGCCGACGTTTTGGGCTAGTTCTCCACCGGAAGCAAGCCGTCGCCGCCGTCTTCTACTCCCTCTCCTCCAATTGACGATGATTCCTGCTCGAAGGCGGTTGATTGAGACGTTCTTGGCTGGGCGATGGATGACGCTTCTGGGCTTCGTGGAGTATGCTGCATCATCTTCCTCTCCCTCTCCTCCCGATTGACGGCGATTTCCACACGAAGGCCATCGATTGAGATGTTTTTGGGTTGGGCTACTGACGATGCTTCTGGGCTTCCCAAAGCAAGCCGCCACCGTCGTTTTCTTCTCCCTCTCCACCCGATCGACCTGAAGAGTAATCTTTGAATCAAGTTGTTGTCGTCGTTTGTGAAGAGCAAAAGGGTAGACAGAAACATACAACATAGAAGCAAATGCCGAGATGAGTATGGTTTTAGTGGTATGGGTAAACGGGGCACAACAGAATGAATGTTAGATTTGGAGGCGACGATGGCTATTAGGTTGACAGATGAGAGGAAGGGGAAGAAGATAGGTAAAAGATGAGGGTAAGAATGTAAATTGATTCTTCTTATTAAAATCCTTTGTTTATATCCAAACAAGTGATTTATTAAAATTCCTCATAGTAAAAATCTAGGTTTTTAAATTGTGGGATTGTGGACAAAAACCCAGGTTTTAGAAAATCCTTATCCAAATCGTTATTTGCTCTTCTCTCCATCGGTTATACCAATGAAAAAAGCAATATTAAACCATGTGTTGTGATCATGTAAAGTAACATATAATTAGTATAATATTAATAATAGACCCAATGAATATAAAATAATAATAATAGACTTTTCATGGAACGGAAAATGTAAGGAAGAAATCCCAAAGTCGTTTGGATGAGTTATTCGTATGAGTTATTTGCACCCAGATAACTCATTTTAAGTTATTTGGGTCCAATAACCCGTTTGTCTATAAACGTTGGTGATGAGTTATTTGTACTTGAGTTAATTTGAAATAACTCATTAATGAGTTATTGTCAATACCTCATAGGGGTAGTTATTGTGAAATAACTCACAAATACCACATTCTCATTTTGTGAGGAATTCCACTTTTATATCAACTCGTTGCACAACAACTCATCCAAACGACCCCAAAATACACATGTTTTTTAAAAAAAAATCACAAAATACATATGTTTTATGAATAATTCCCAAAATACACATGTTCGTGTATCACTGGGGTCGTCAACCGCAGTGAATGCATTCACCACGGCAGACGAAAGCGGTGAATGCATCACCGCTGTGAATGTCTGACCTAACATTGAAACTGTAAACGAACGTAACTTTGTGCTTAGTGATCCGATTGTAGTGAATTTTTTTTATTCCGCATAACTTTTCTAGATCTTTCAATCTACAACAGGACTTCATCCTAAAAAATGTCGTTTGCTACCCCGAACGAGCAATTTTTTTTATTTTGACAAACTTTGGAAGACCATAACTTTGTGCTCCGCAATCCGAATGTCATGAAACATTTTTTTTATTTCGCATAACTTTCAAAGGACTACAACTTTTATCATAACCATAATATTGAAATGTATGTGGATTTGTGAAAAGTAAAGGCAAAGTTAATCCCAAAATCTCGTATACCCAAAACTATTTTTTTTAAATTGTCTACTAGTAAAAGTTGTAGTTCTTAAAAAGTTATGCACAATAAAAAAACTTTATGACGTTCGGATTGAGGAGCAAAAAGTTATGGCCTTCCGAAGTTTGGAAAAATTAAAAAATTGCTCATTCGGGGTAGCAAACGACATTTTTTTAGATGAAGGTTTTTGGCAGATTGAAAGATCTTGAAAAGTTATGCGGAATAAAAAACTTCGCTACAATCGGATAACTAAGTGCAAAGTTACGTGATGCGATATCGACTCGCAGCATATTTAATTCTCGTGATTCAAAAATGAAAATTCGAATTTATCGATATAAGGATCAATTGGGAGCATTCTTGATCGATAAATTGTGTTCACAATTTATGCAGTGTGCATTTGATATCCTATCCAGCTAAAGTAACACGTGAGGTGGAATTCATTCCATTTGATGAAAAATGACAAAGTGGAAAGCTTTCATTTGATGGTGGCTTGCGTGGGGGAAACTAATCAAGCAAGCAGCTCAACTTGTGCAGCACGTGAATCCTGTGAATCCTTGCATGAGCTGGTTTATTTGGTAAATCAATTAAATAAGTGGCTGGTTTGTTTAATCACGTGGAGAATTATGATGCATGGTCTTGGACTCATGGTAATTAAGAAGAACGTGATTTCAATGGAGGGATTAGATGTTGGCGGGTTGATTTCCGCAGCAGCAAAGGAAAGGCAGAACTCATTGTTCGCCAGGGAGAAGGAAACTTGCACCGGCCATTTTTTGGAGTTTATTTGTAGTTTATTTATTTGTAAAACTAGTATTAAGTTATCTAGTTAGTTTGGGATTTGTTTTCTTAGTTTTTTTAGGTTATATTTATGTTTTTATGATCTCTATAAATAGAGGGTGTAAGACCTACGAATTTTGTACCCAATATTCAAGTTATCAATTAAGAGTTTTTACTTGTGTTCCTTTGTGAACGTTTGTGCAAGTTTCTGTCGAGAGTTTCCAGGATTTTCACGTATCTCTTATCAACTAGAGAACGCGTCTAGTGGTGACGAGCTTCTACCCTATATCAATTGCCCCTTTCCATGAGTTGATTATGTCTGATTGGTTTAATGTACCAATTGCCCTTTGTCACAAGTTGGGATTGTTCGATTGATTCCGCATCTATCATTTATTTCAAGTTGTTCAAGTTGGAAAAAAGCTTCGAAAATCCTTAAAAAGAAGGAAGGCTGCGTACTTTGGGTTCTCTTCGGATTTGGATCATATCAAGTTACGTTCGTTTGAAGTTTCATTGTTACGTAAGGCATTCAACGCGGCCGTCAACTCCGATGATGCACTCATCGTTTTCGTCTAGCGCAGTGATGCACAAACATGTATATTTTGAGATTTTTTTATAAACAGTTGTATGTTTTGTTTTTTTTCGAAACATAAGAAGCTCCAATGGCCCGCCCAGATGAACTATATTACTAACAGTTTTTTGTTTTACGAAAGAACCCTCCGTCCTATGCGTTGGTGCAAGGATAAGTGGAATTGAGGGGTTTTTGGAGTGGTACCTCCGTATAGTAATTGTTTGATTTGATATAGTAATTGTTTGATTTGAAGTAAATACTTGGCAAAATACACTTGGGTAGCCAAAATTTTGACGGTTTTGCCAAATATAGCCACTTTTGGCGAAATACCAAAAATAGCCACTTCCGTCCAATTCTTTGACGGTGTTAGTAAACGTGCTGACTGGACTAACGGAAAGACTGACGTGGCAACAATTTCGTAAGTAACAATGACAGGTGGAAAACCATCATAATTTTATCTTTTTACTTTAATTAACTTAAATAAAACAAAATTACAAAAAAGAAACATAGAACAATAATATCTCTTCCCTCAAAAGAAACATAGAACAATAATATCTCTTCCCTCACCCTTCCGCAGTTCCGCTACCTCTGCTTCTCGTCCATCTTCTCCTCCCCACTCCACCTCCATGTCTCCACCACTGATCCTAAAACCACTTTTCTTTTCTCACTACACAAAATAGAGGATAAGCTTTGAATATGATGTCCAACGCTCCTGGTCCATAAGAAATTGTATCCCAGATTCGGATTTGAAAACCCCCCAAATTCAAGAACCCTAGTTCTTCCTCCCAAATTCATTAGATTCTTGAATTCGGGCCTGGGGGTGGTGATGCTGATCGTTGACGACAATAGGAGGGATTTGGTACCGGTGGTACCCGACGGGGAGCACTGGAAACGGCCGGCGTGAGCTCGTCAGCGTGAGTTGATGCAGAGGCACGACCCGCCGCTGTGAGTCGATTGCTCCTTTGCTTTTTCCCAGCCGTTGTGTCGATTCCTTCTCCGTCTTCTTCTTCCTGACTGAAATCGATCGCCTTCCACAACCCTTCTTCATCACTCTCACTGTCTCTCTATTCCGAAACCCCAGCAGGGTCAACTGAGAAGTTTCCGGCTCGGAGGACTCTGAAGCGGATTGTTGGGTTCTGAATCGGAGAACAGAGGTGGGGGATGCGAGGTTGTTGTTGTGTGATTCGTCGCCGGAGTTGTACCCTGAAGTCGAGCTAACTTTAACCTCCGGCCTATTGATCTCCACTTCTTCATCTTTCTCACGCGGATTGACGAAATTCGTCTGTGCGTCCGGTTCCTGGAGCTTAATCGCGACGTTGTCATAGACCATCGCCGCTTCCTCCGCGGTATCGTAGGTTCCCAGCCAGAGCCGAACCCTCTTCGCCGGATCCCGAATCTCGGCAGCCCATTTACCCCACGGCCGCCTCCTCACTCCTCTGAACTTCCTCTCACCAGACTGAACCGCCGCCGCTGCAGCTGCCGCAGGAAGCACTTCCCTCGCCGGCTTCCCAATCTCCGAAGAAACCGGCGGTAGGGTCAGAGGCTATGGAGATGAGAAGTGGGGGTTCTCTTGGACGATTGAGGTGACGTTTCGGCTGCCGGATTGACGGATCTCGGAGGCGGTTCCGGGGAAGCTTTGATTGTTGGAGATTCCTCATCGTTGAAGCCGCTTGATCTGGATTAGGGATTGATGGGAGAGAATTTGGGGAGGAAGGTGAAAGAAAGAATTGAGAAGAAAGGGGTCTTCTGCGGGCGGCGGCAGAGAGAAGAGAGGGACAGATAAAAAAATGTATTTATTTAGTTTTCACAAATAAAAAAATTTAGTTCAGGTAAAAAAAGACTATTTGGCAAAAAAAAATTTATCCACCTGGAATTATTAAAAGATAAAATAAAATGACGTGGCAATGATATCGATGACTTGTCGCTGACGTGTGTGATGATTTGGCATCCTAGTCAGCCTGACGTTAACTTAACTGACGGAGTTTCTAACACCGTTAAAGTTTGTAACGGAAATGGCTATATTTGTCATTAAACTTCCAAAATTCTGGCTATTATTGGTATTTTCCCAAAAATGGCTATTATTGTCACAAACGTCAAAGTTTTGGCTACACAAATGAATTTGGCCTAAATACTTTGATGTATTAAAACAATTTGGGCTAATTATTTGTATTTTTGTACATTTAACTAATAGGCCAAATACATTTGTGTAGCCAAAACTTTGACGATTTTGCCAAATATAGCCACTTTTGGCGAAATACCAGAAATAGCCACTTCCGTCTAATTATTTGATGGTGTTAGTTAACGTGCTGACTGGACTAACGGATTGTCCGACGTGGCGTTTTCCGACCCATAAGTATTTTCCACGTGGATTTAAAAAAAAATATTAAAAGGTTAGGAAAAAATAAAATGCTTTGTATTTCCCACGTACATAAACTTAACAAACAAAAACAACAAAAAAATCCCTAAAAAAAATTCCATCGCCAACACAGCTTTGCAAACCCTTCCCAACCTGTTCATCTTCTTCCACAGCGTCCCTCGCCCTCGCCCTCAACCCCACCCCACCCCCAATCCATCGCCGCCTCCCTCGCCCTCAACCTCTCCACCTTCTTGCAAACTTCTCTCTACTCCAATCCCTCTCCTCTCTCTCTCTCTCTCTCTTCATTCCCCTTGCATGCG